CAAACAATCCAAATAACTACCCCATCGCGTTAGTGCTGGTAATTTAAGAGCGACTGTAACATCTTTTTCTCTTCCTATTTGATCAAAAGTTGCTTTAAGCACATGACTATTTTTAATAGTTTTTGTGACTTGAATCACATCTGCTATTTTTGTTTTAATTGATGAACTGTTAACAATATCACCACATAATAAATGTAACAAATGTGCCAAACATCCTAGCGGTACAATATGAGGATATTTTTCTTGCAGTAGTCTGAAACTTGCTCTCATATTCGCCGCGTTATCACCAATGACTACCAGAAATTTTTTGGTATTCTACTTTTTCATTACTGTTTCTATTTGTTTGTACAAATATGTTGCTGTATATCGCCTTTCCCCCGAAAAAACAAAATCAACAAAAAGTGGAGCGGGGGTAGATATTAAAAAATTTATAATGGGTTCGTTGCGCAGATTAGACCAACCATCACATTGTAAATGTAGGTGCTTACAATTATTAACTGTAAAATTAACATTATTTTTCATTTCGACATACTGTGATTCTAAATATGTTCTTGCCAAACGATTTCGGGAAGGAGGCACGAATGCGGGGCGAATAGCTTTAAAAAACTCGATCCATAATGGATGTTCTACTAACGAGAATGGCGCGCCGCTGATGAAAACAGCTTTTGCCAGACGTTGATTGAGCATTTCCTACATCAAAAGAAAATCATCATTGTAAGTTTTGACTGATAGCAATTTTATAGTAAAACATACATTTGTCGCAGGATCCATAGTATCGAAAAACGGTGTAATTGCTGATGATGAAGATAATGTTGACATAGAACTTCCAGGTCTTTCAAAAGAACTGGATCCAGGCACAACACTCACTGGATTATTTTCTTGCCAAGTTACTACCGATTGATCTATATTTTTCACCAAACTAGGGTTTTTTAAAATATTTTTTAAATGTTGTGGGCATTTAAAACAGTTTTTAACAATGTCAGTTGTCATTTTATTAACATTGCCGTGTTTATACCGTTGATTGCAATATTTGCATATTACACCTCCCTGTTCATGAGTATTAAAAAATGTCCAAGTTACTACACAAAAAGATATTTTTATTTTTTTTTAATTTAAATGAAGTATATTTTTATAAATTTTTATTTAAATTACGGTTTTATTTCGTGTTCTACTCTAGAAGGAACTACGCGCAACTAAACTACAGTCAAAAATTACACAAACAAGTTTAAACAAAAATACAGGTGCTTGCGAGACGCGCCCAGTTGACGCCGTGCGCGCAAGTGTAAATACCCGCTGTTTGGGTTCCCCCGAATAACCCAAATACCCGGATAAATACCCATTTTATAAATACCTACCCGCCGGGTATTTACCCCGCGCTCATCACTGATTTTTCAGATGTGACAGAACGAATTGCGAGATGCCTGAAAAAGAATGATATCGTGATACGGAACGGACAGCAAAATACAGAACGCTCTTCCGAAAGCTAAAGACATATGAAAAATAATACGTGATCGCTTATATAAACTAACAAGACAAACTAACTCCATTAAAGGGAGTGGGAGTCTACCGGCTATCGTGTAGGTCTAGTGTTAGTTCTAGTGATAGTACTAGTGTTAGTTCTAGTTTTCGTTTAATTACCACCGGCCGTGAAAGCTTTCGTACTTAAAAAAAGCAAAGTCGAGCAATTTTTCGGAAAAACTAAACTTATGACGCGTACTGTATATGTCAGGAATTTGATTTATGACATATTTGGCATCAATTTCCTACAACATTTTCAATAACTAGTTATTTTCAGTTATTTCAACCCTTTTACTTTTTGTCCGCCTTTTATTAAATTAAAGTATTATTTTAATTTTTACTAATGTCATCGTCGACAGAATTAACTTTAGTCAGCAGCTTGGTAAGAAAAAAATCGTAAAATAAATTACCTTGCTTAACCTAAACATAAAAAGGTGATTGATTCGCAAGGATTAGGAGATGTTTCGCCTTTACCACAAACTCAAAACTCAACCGATTCATTACCTTCCATCTTTCTTCCTCGGAGAATTTACGTTCGAAATACTAACGAAAATAGAAGAGCGGTAATCGCTCGTTATGAGAGTGGAAGAACAACAACAGCGACAGGATTCTATTTATGTATGATGTCTGTATTGTTATTGGTAAAAATAATTTTTTTTTTAATTCCGTAGCTTATTTTTTTCTTTTTTTATAGTGCACTGGAGCTGGTTTAATATCAACAACAACGTTTCTTTTAATTTACCGTAACCCATATACACAAATAACCGAAGGAATTTTCCATTCAGAAGCTATTAATTTTACATTATGCGCGGGAATTGTAAGCATTTTGTGTTGGTGGATCTGCTGGATAGCTCACGATAATATAAAAAATTACATATTTTTCCCGTTATTAATCGTCGTGCTAACAATATCTTTATCGATGTTGTTAACATCCATTGGAATCGGTGTTTCGCTAAAATCACGATTATTAATTTTCGACAAAAGTTCTAGTAAACCCGTAAAACTGGCTTCGAGCCACCACATGACGTTATTAAACGAGACTTTGACCACAAGTTTAAAGTTGTATTGGGAAAACGAAGTGTACAGAACGTCTTGGGATCGTGTTCAACAACGATTAAAGTGTTGTGGAATTAATCAAGCCAAAGATTGGGGTCCAAAAGAAAAAATACCTGAATCTTGTTATGAAGAAAATGGGGAAAATGGTGAGATGGTTATTCAAGGTGGTTGTTTTTATAAAATAGCGCACGAATTCGAATGGGAAATTTGTGTTTTAATTGGATTAAGTCTAATTAGTTTTTCAATACAAATTATAACTATGGGTTTGGTTTGTGGGGTTTATCTCAGTGATAAAATCAAATCTAAAATAAGAAATTAAGAAAAGAAATTTTTCACATCACTCTCTAGAAACTTTGAAGAAGGGAAAACAAGTTTTCTCGAAAATAAAAAACTAGAACAATAACTTGAAAATATTAAGTACTTTAAGAACTATTAAACAATTTTATACTGGCAATTAAGACGCACAATCGTTTCGACTTTTTAACCAGTTGCAACAATGACCATCTCCTATGGGAAAGAGATAACGACTTCGCGAGGTTTTGGTTTGTTCTGGCGTCTATTATCAAGGTAAGAATCAAAAATCATGTCTGTCTAAAAATAAATAAATAAAATACTACCTGTTTATTGATAAATGGATTAAGTTAAAGTGACCGGTTAATTTGTTGATTCGCTGATAAGAACTGACTTTAAAGTGATGATATAACATGAAACATGATGTATCTTATCAATTATAACAGTGATCTAAAGTGTATTTATCTGGTAATTGTACCGTTGCAGTAACGAACGGACACGAAATGAACGCGCGTGGTTAATTTAAAGTGTTTAAACGTCTTCTTTAAAGTTAACTTTTTGTTGAATAATAAAAATGACTGTTTCGTATACTTCAAAAGTTGCTACGGCTAAAGGATACGGGTTGTTTGTGCTTTTATTAAAAAGGTTCGAATTAAATTAAGTAAATAGTTTTGAAAAAATTATAACTGAATTAAAGTTTTACGATACCATTATAACTAATTTACGATTAGAATTAATGGCTATAACTACTTTACGTCTGTCGTTTATTACCTTTTTCTCTATATGCCGATGATTTATAACTCAATAAAACTTTTGGCTTTGTTTACTAGAAATTTACAATGCACTACCATAAAAACATTTAATACAAATCTTAAACGTGATTTAAGGTGGATTTTCCGTAAACAAATTTTAATTCTGGATTAATTCTTAAAATTTTTAGAATCTTTAACACCTTGAAGATTAAATTAAATGTATATTTAAATGTTTTATTTATAAATATTTAATCATAAATATTTGTGTGGTTTTAGATGGAGAGGGAGTATCTACAAACTTATCTGGGCGGATTTAATCATCTACATTATTATTTATTTTATTCTTAATAGCGTTTATCGTTACGCTTTAAATGAAGATGGCCAAAGGTAAAGAAAAAAATTTTATTAATTTTTTTTTAAAACTAAATTAACTTATAGAAAATTAATCATCTATTTTGTCACATCAAGTATTATAAAAAAACTTTTAATTCAAATCAATGTTCAACACTATGTATTGTTAGACCCAATCGCCNTTTAAATGTTGTGGGCATTTAAAACAGTTTTTAACAATGTCAGTTGTCATTTTATTAACATTGCCGTGTTTATACCGTTGATTGCAATATTTGCATATTACACCTCCCTGTTCATGAGTATTAAAAAATGTCCAAGTTACTACACAAAAAGATATTTTTATTTTTTTTTAATTTAAATGAAGTATATTTTTATAAATTTTTATTTAAATTACGGTTTTATTTCGTGTTCTACTCTAGAAGGAACTACGCGCAACTAAACTACAGTCAAAAATTACACAAACAAGTTTAAACAAAAATACAGGTGCTTGCGAGACGCGCCCAGTTGACGCCGTGCGCGCAAGTGTAAATACCCGCTGTTTGGGTTCCCCCGAATAACCCAAATACCCGGATAAATACCCATTTTATAAATACCTACCCGCCGGGTATTTACCCCGCGCTCATCACTGATTTTTCAGATGTGACAGAACGAATTGCGAGATGCCTGAAAAAGAATGATATCGTGATACGGAACGGACAGCAAAATACAGAACGCTCTTCCGAAAGCTAAAGACATATGAAAAATAATACGTGATCGCTTATATAAACTAATAAGACAAACTAACTCCATTAAAGGGAGTGGGAGTCTACCGGCTATCGTGTAGGTCTAGTGTTAGTTCTAGTGATAGTACTAGTGTTAGTTCTAGTTTTCGTTTAATTACCACCGGCCGTGAAAGCTTTCGTACTTAAAAAAAGCAAAGTCGAGCAATTTTTCGGAAAAACTAAACTTATGACGCGTACTGTATATGTCAGGAATTTGATTTATGACATATTTGGCATCAATTTCCTACAACATTTTCAATAACTAGTTATTTTCAGTTATTTCAACCCTTTTACTTTTTGTCCGCCTTTTATTAAATTAAAGTATTATTTTAATTTTTACTAATGTCATCGTCGACAGAATTAACTTTAGTCAGCAGCTTGGTAAGAAAAAAATCGTAAAATAAATTACCTTGCTTAACCTAAACATAAAAAGGTGATTGATTCGCAAGGATTAGGAGATGTTTCGCCTTTACCACAAACTCAAAACTCAACCGATTCATTACCTTCCATCTTTCTTCCTCGGAGAATTTACGTTCGAAATACTAACGAAAATAGAAGAGCGGTAATCGCTCGTTATGAGAGTGGAAGAACAACAACAGCGACAGGATTCTATTTATGTATGATGTCTGTATTGTTATTGGTAAAAATAATTTTTTTTTTAATTCCGTAGCTTATTTTTTTCTTTTTTTATAGTGCACTGGAGCTGGTTTAATATCAACAACAACGTTTCTTTTAATTTACCGTAACCCATATACACAAATAACCGAAGGAATTTTCCATTCAGAAGCTATTAATTTTACATTATGCGCGGGAATTGTAAGCATTTTGTGTTGGTGGATCTGCTGGATAGCTCACGATAATATAAAAAATTACATATTTTTCCCGTTATTAATCGTCGTGCTAACAATATCTTTATCGATGTTGTTAACATCCATTGGAATCGGTGTTTCGCTAAAATCACGATTATTAATTTTCGACAAAAGTTCTAGTAAACCCGTAAAACTGGCTTCGAGCCACCACATGACGTTATTAAACGAGACTTTGACCACAAGTTTAAAGTTGTATTGGGAAAACGAAGTGTACAGAACGTCTTGGGATCGTGTTCAACAACGATTAAAGTGTTGTGGAATTAATCAAGCCAAAGATTGGGGTCCAAAAGAAAAAATACCTGAATCTTGTTATGAAGAAAATGGGGAAAATGGTGAGATGGTTATTCAAGGTGGTTGTTTTTATAAAATAGCGCACGAATTCGAATGGGAAATTTGTGTTTTAATTGGATTAAGTCTAATTAGTTTTTCAATACAAATTATAACTATGGGTTTGGTTTGTGGGGTTTATCTCAGTGATAAAATCAAATCTAAAATAAGAAATTAAGAAAAGAAATTTTTCACATCACTCTCTAGAAACTTTGAAGAAGGGAAAACAAGTTTTCTCGAAAATAAAAAACTAGAACAATAACTTGAAAATATTAAGTACTTTAAGAACTATTAAACAATTTTATACTGGCAATTAAGACTCACAATCGTTTCGACTTTTTAACCAGTTGCAACAATGACCATCTCCTATGGGAAAGAGATAACGACTTCGCGAGGTTTTGGTTTGTTCTGGCGTCTATTATCAAGGTAAGAATCAAAAATCATGTCTGTCTAAAAATAAATAAATAAAATACTACCTGTTTATTGATAAATGGATTAAGTTAAAGTGACCGGTTAATTTGTTGATTCGCTGATAAGAACTGACTTTAAAGTGATGATATAACATGAAACATGATGTATCTTATCAATTATAACAGTGATCTAAAGTGTATTTATCTGGTAATTGTACCGTTGCAGTAACGAACGGACACGAAATGAACGCGCGTGGTTAATTTAAAGTGTTTAAACGTCTTCTTTAAAGTTAACTTTTTGTTGAATAATAAAAATGACTGTTTCGTATACTTCAAAAGTTGCTACGGCTAAAGGATACGGGTTGTTTGTGCTTTTATTAAAAAGGTTCGAATTAAATTAAGTAAATAGTTTTGAAAAAATTATAACTGAATTAAAGTTTTACGATACCATTATAACTAATTTACGATTAGAATTAATGGCTATAACTACTTTACGTCTGTCGTTTATTACCTTTTTCTCTATATGCCGATGATTTATAACTCAATAAAACTTTTGGCTTTGTTTACTAGAAATTTACAATGCACTACCATAAAAACATTTAATACAAATCTTAAACGTGATTTAAGGTGGATTTTCCGTAAACAAATTTTAATTCTGGATTAATTCTTAAAATTTTTAGAATCTTTAACACCTTGAAGATTAAATTAAATGTATATTTAAATGTTTTATTTATAAATATTTAATCATAAATATTTGTGTGGTTTTAGATGGAGAGGGAGTATCTACAAACTTATCTGGGCGGATTTAATCATCTACATTATTATTTATTTTATTCTTAATAGCGTTTATCGTTACGCTTTAAATGAAGATGGCCAAAGGTAAAGAAAAAAATTTTATTAATTTTTTTTTAAAACTAAATTAACTTATAGAAAATTAATCATCTATTTTGTCACATCAAGTATTATAGAAAAACTTTTAATTCAAATCAATGTTCAACACTATGTATTGTTAGACCCAATCGCCGATTTCGGACAAGTGCCGAAATTATCGAGCATTTCGCGGTATGTTCAAATGCATTTGAGCATATGCCGAAATAGAACTAAAACGCAGATTGAATAGTTTAATTCTGCACAATCGCCGATTGTACATCTCCTATTTGATCAAATACGGATTATTATTTTATACGAATGTGCAACATGGCATTAACAACACAATACAAGATCACTTTTATTAAAAAAAATGAGAGCAGCTTTTATTATTTAACAGTAAACCAAACTTTTCAAAAAATAAAACACATTTTTACAAAAATATAAAAGTAGAACAACGAAAAATATCTTAAGTATTAAAGTAAATATTGACCTTATTTATTGCAGCATGATAAATACTGATGACATTTACTGTTACACTTAACTTGTCTTAAAAGACACTAGCATATTTTATTTTTACAGTTAGTCTTACAGTTACGACGGACAAACCCTTGTTTACAATTTGTTTCTTCAGAAGCAATGTGTTGAAGCGAAGCTGAACTGGTGGGAACATCAGCCAAGGATATAAAGTTGCTTTCTGAAATTTATAAAGAAAATTGTAATCATGTTTTAAACTAGATAGAGAATTGTTACCTGCAATTCATTTCTAGCATGTAGCCTCTCTAAAATAACATTTGCTGTACCTACTTTACACAGGGTGAGTCAGAAAGAATGGGAAATCCAAATACCGGAGATACTAGACACCAAAATATGATGATTTAACTTAACATCTCTTATACAAATGTCAGTGGTTTTCGAGGCACAGGGTGTTGACTGTTAAATTCTTATTTCGAAATTCCTTGATAATTTTGAAGCTTTTTGTACTATTAACATAAAATTTGGTAGTTTTATGTTTTCGAGCATGAAAAATACGAAGTTGAAACTTGTTTTGTTATTGCTCGCAGAGGCGCTAGATACACACTGCTCGTTTGATAAATCAAATCATAAGTTTTTTGGCTTTCTTCTAAAATTTTTATTTTTTAACATAAGCAAAGTTGGCTTATTTTTCCGCTCGTGTTTCGACAATAGCTTGTTAATTGTCAGCATTGATCTAATTTCCGTGTGCAATCATTATTACCAACAATAAAGTTATTGCCAATTTGAAAATGCCACGACATAATGAGTTTTCTAATATAAATTACTTTGACCCAACTAAAAGGAGATAACTTGGCAACCAACACGTGCAGTGTGTATCGAGCGCCCTCTACGAGTAATCACAAAACAAATTTCAAATTCGTATTTCTCATGCTCCATCTAACTACCAAATTTTATGTTAATAGTACAAAAAGCTTCAAAATTATTACAGAAATTTGGAAATAAGAATTTAACTTTCAACAGCCTGTGCCTTGAAAATCACCGACATTTGTATAAAAGATGTTAGGTTAAATCATTATATTAGTGTCTCCGGTATTCGGATTTCCCATTCTTTCTAACTCACCCTGTATAGGCCTTCATTTGCAGAAATAACAACAGCTAATATATTTCTAGGTGCAGTTCGTCCACGATTAACATCCGGGATTTTCAATAAAATATTTCGTCCAGTACATACAGATGAAAATTTTTTTGAACTGCGTTCCTGCATTTTATCAGCTTGTCATTTTAAACTTTGTGCACTTTCTTCTCTCTGTTGAGTGATTTGTTCTAACCGTATATTAATGTCGTCAGAGCTATCATCCATTTTTTCAGTTTCAACTACTAGTTCTTCTTGTAATTGAATGTCGGTTTGGTTGTTAAGCAAATCATCCAGGTCTTCTTCCCTCTCAATACGACTGACAACAGTAGTCCATGTTGGAATCCTTGAGATCATTCATCATTCTCCGAACATGGCCTCGTTCGGTGATCCCTGTATACCATTATGGTATGGGCGATTTTTGTGTAACTGCACAAAGCAAAAGCCTTCTGGCCATTTATTGGTTTTATTGTCTCTCATCTAAGAAACAGGAATGTCGCGCACATCTTGATTTGCCCTTTCCACAGAGCCTTGACTCTGGGAATGACGAGGTTTTCCATGTACACTTTTAGCGTTGAACATATCTGCTAAATTTGTAATTACAGCATTTGTAAATTCACGCCATTATCACTATGGAGAATGCAGGGTGCGCCAATAATACAATAAATTTTCATCAACTTATACGCGACTTCCTCTGCTCTCTTAGATTTCAGTGGCTTTAAAAATACGAATTTTGTCAGGTGATCCTCATAATTTAAAATAAATTTAAAATCGTTATCGGGCTCGGTCTGCATGTCAATTAAATCGACTTGCCCTCTTTTGTTGATGTTCTTCGTTAATATCGGCTTCGAAACTAAACCATTCTTTTTCTCTTTTTTCTTTAACTGGCAAGATAAACAAAGTTTTTAATATTCTTCAATAACATTTCTGCTAATATTTGCATATTTTTCTTTATTATTATTATTGAAATAGAATCCGTTCGTTTTCTATTGTTAAAACCTCAAATCTATGAAGACGTCGGTATTCTAGCGGTGTAAGGAGGTATTCCTTCTGAAGGAGGCCTATAGTAAGGCCTTCACTTCTTGTATAATTTCATTGGATTTCTCCAATGAAAGAGAGCACGTAAAGTTTTTATTATAAACAGTAAGACATATTTTCAGGTTATCATTAAACGCTTCAACATTAACACAAGAAGCCATAATCTTGTACTTACATTTACTAAAAACTAACCGCTAACTAACCTTTATTATATAAAAACCATGTAAAAACTTCTAACTTGCATTTATTTATATGATGGATAAACAAAATGAAGATAAAAGATGAAAAATGGCGACGTTAAAAAGTGTGGAATGTTAAAAATTAGAAAACTTTAAGAGGATGCGTTGGTGGAATGAGATGAGGCGAGACTTTCAGTCTCGCCTCATCATTTTGTGTATCCATCAGATAGCAAAATGCTTTGTTCTTATCCGATTTCCAGTCTACACCTATTATAGCTTCATTGACTTTGTCGCTGATGATGGGGTAACCCGAAACTAGTACGACTTTATATAAATAAATGCAAGTTAGAAGTTTTTACATGGTTTTTATTTGATTATTAATCTTGCAACATGGATAACTCTGGCAATTAACCTTTATTATGATCGGCATTTGATCAAATAGGAGGTGCACAATCGGAGATTGTGTAAAATTAAACTATCCAATCTGCGTTTGCTCAAAATTACCTGCTCAAATTCCGAAATTCAGTCCTACTTTGGCATTTGCTCACATGCATTTGAACATTCCCTGAAATGCTCGATTATTTCGGCACTTGTCCGAAACCGACGATTGGGTCTAACATATACATACATTCTTGAAAATTTGCCAATTTCACATTTCTTGAAATTGTGGTTGAAGAGAAAATAATAATGTCTCCAAAACTGTTAGAAATTAAGAAATGAAACTCTCTAGATGACAGGTTGTACTAAATTTTAAGCTTTCAGGGTAAACGATTCACTCTACCTACAAGGTGTATCTGAATATGTCGTTGAAGTTAGCAACGGATTCAGAAACAAAATTCACATTTTTACAGCGAACCAAGCAAATAGTGTACTCTATTTATAATTTCGTATTTATTAGTGATAACAACCAAAAAAACCATCAAAATTAGCATTAAAGAGAGTAAAATACAAAACCCTTCTAAAACTTTCAATTAAAATTAATTATTATTATATAAAAACGTGGGATCGAGATCACCCTCTCATTATGTGAAAAAATCATATTTGTATTGAAAAAGCTTGAGGATCCATTAAGTTCACTCCAAATATCAAAATCACTATTTCGAATAACATATCTAAGAACCACCCGGAAATTCAGAGGACAAAGGGTCGAAATCACCCCCGAAATACGTAAAAAATTCATAACTTTCTTGAAAAATTTTGTGACACCACCAAACTTAGTCGAAAAATCAAAAATAACGTTTCGAATATCATATATTATCTATGAGACACACGGAAATTATGTTGATAAGGGTTGTATAATAATAATTGTATATATAAATAATTGTAATTAAAACTGAATTTGGTCTAATGTGTAGTGATCTGGATAAACATGATCCCTTTCCGTAATATCATAAAGCGTTTTATATTGCTCACACAAGCTTACTTCGTCGTTCATTCCGTAATATTTACGTATAATTTTTTAATCCAGAAATCCTAGAAGAACATATTTCACAAATGCCTTGTCTGCTATATTGGTTGTTTACATTATAGACTGCTGCACTAAATGATATAAACGGAGTTAACATATCCCATTTCACATGGCACTCTGGTTTATCAACAGAACGGTACCGCTCACAAAAATCGTTTGTATTCCTTGTATTGTATATTTCTTGTAACTCATTTTTATAATGAATAACAAAATATTTTAGAGACATATTATTATCCAACGCAACATTTTTAATTGTACTTGATGTGTTGAATAAACCTGCTTTATAGTGTTGACATGATGGGCAACTATAAACAAAGTTGCGAAGTTTAATTGTATCTATAGAAATTACATTACATATGTTCGAGCAACGATCTATATCAGTGGTTCTCAAACTATGGTACGCGTACCACTGATGGTACGCGAGAAGTTCTCAAGTGGTACGCAAAACAGTTTATATTTGCATTATCATTATTGTTTTTTTTTTGTTCAGTGGTACTTACCTGATTTTTAAAATAGCCTTAGTGGTACGCAAGGATATAAGTTTGAGAACCGCTGATCTATATGTAACCATCTGTTACATAAGTTGCAGCCTACATAATTTTCCTGTGATCCTATACCACATTTAAAACATTTATCATACATAACGTGAGATGACAGTAATAAAACATTTTGTAAAGAAATTCTGAAAAGGTCAGAATTAAAATTACTTTGTAATAATGATGTTGGCAAATATTGCAAATATTGCAAATATGATGGTTTTTTTTGCAAAACCATCATGTACCATATAACATAGACTCCACAATTGATTGAATCTTCAGTCTCTTGGGTAGGATATGCTATTGTTGTTAGTTTCCACTTCCTAGCATTTAGTTTGTCTTCGTGTAGGTGTAGACGGTCTCTA